CAATTCAGAGGCGATTGAAGGATCTACAGCCGACTGGTACACATATAAGCCCGATGGAGGCCACTAGTCAGGGTTGCTCGGCCACTATTTTACCTATTTGACTAGTAAAAATGATACATGTTGCCAACTAAAGCCACATGCGGGGTCCCTTTATTCATTAAAGGAGATCTATCAGGTGAGTGATTTCCACTCAGCCTCATAGTTAGAGCCGACGTGTGACAAAGAAGCTGTTACAGGTCAGCTCTATAGATCGGGAAGTGAGCAGAAACATGCAGCGGATCCGTCTCCCTGCAGTGAGCGGTGACTGTCAGTTATCGCTCCCTGCAGGGATTCCTCCCCGCTCCGATCCACCAGCGCTGAGTGGAGGAACGGACGGGGGAGGGGGCGGGCACAGCTGGCTCTGCCTCTAGATAGGCAGAGCCAGCTGTCACTCACGCAGCTGTGTGGATCAAGACAGTATTGTCAGGATCCGTCCCGGCTGCGGCGCTCTCAGTATTTTGCGGGCAATAGCTCGCTATATACTGAGCTTTTGGTCACGGGAGGATGCTAGTATATGTCCTCCCGTGACCCTAAAGAGAACTATGGGGAAAAACACTGACCCCATAGTTCTCCTTTAATGGCTCAGCTCCTCATGTATAACCAGTGGTGGACATTGTGCACGCTACACACACCCCAAAAAACAAAAGTACAGAGTACAAAGGGCATGTGTAAGACACCCCGTCATTGTGTCCAACATGTGCACAGATGCCACAGGTCTCTGCAAGGTCCCGGAAACCAGCGGCATCTATGCGCATGCGTGGAAATCTCCCGCACACGTGTGCTGCAAATCTCTGCCTGCTCCCGAAGACCTGACACTAAGGTAGCATTCATCTAACGCTAACCCTCTCCACAGGGTGAGGACGCAGCAGTGATATCACAAAAGAAGAAACAGTGTTGTCATGTTCCTGAAGGATGTTGAACCTAAACAGGTCTACTGGCTGAATCAAAACCTACCTTCAGGGCCTGTTCACATGAGTTTCAGGTCCTGATCAGCAGACGCGGTGCTATGTGTTTTGCCGCGTTCCAGTAAAATAAAAAAATATTTATTTTTTTGGGCGTGGGGCTGTCAGTATGTTAGCTGCAGTACAGTGCGTTTTTGACGCGTTTTGCATTTCCTGGCCGTACAAAATGTGACATGCAGTATTTTTGTGTCGTAACCTGAACGGACTGCGCATGTGAGAACTGTAGACCATAAAACACATAGGGATACATTGGGAGGCATTTTTAGCGCAGGAGCGTACGGATCAGGTCAGCACAGAAAGCGAACGTCGTGTGAACAGACCCTCAAAGTTTACAACTTTATTGGTTGTGTTCAACTAAACGTCAAAGGTCCTAGAGAGCTAAAAGCAGGGAGCTTTACATCAGCCGTGATCGTATAGTGGTTAGTACTCTGTGTTGTGGCCGCAGCAACCCCGGTTCGAATCCGGGTCACGGCAGCTTTTAGTACCGCTCATCCATTTTGGTTATATATATATATATCGTGTCAGATTCCCCGCATCACCTTTCATCATCACGTGGAGTCACGAGGCGGCCCAACCAAGTACTGATGGGGTGGTCATAATAATCTGGCCGCTCAGTGTATATCTCACTCTATATATGAGCAGCATGAAGCAATCCCCTAGAGTTGAAATATTGGGCAAGACACAATCCCTGTCCGCTGGAACCTGTCACATCAGTTAAATTTTTACAACTTTCATCACGAGAAGCACCGAACATCAAAGGTTTTGTTTAGGGCTGCAACAACTAATCGACATAATCGATTATAATCGATTATTGAAAAAGTTGTCAACTTTTTCAATAATCGATTAATCGGCTTCCGATCAGTTGGCCCTGTTCGCCGCTCCACACACGCTCTTCACGCCGCACCTCCTCCCCGCCTCACACTCACCGCCCACCGACATCCACGATCGGCACAGGGACGCGGGGAGATGTAGTAAGGAGGAGCAGGTGTGGGGGGATGACAGCCGCCGATAGACAGGTCCGATCTCAGAAGCAAGTTGCTGGAAGACTGCTCAGGTAAGCCTGCACTTCCCACACATGGTGCTCTATAATGTATTGCTGGGATTTGTATTCCTCTATAGCTGATGGTACATTGTGCTGTATATTATACATAGGAATACAAATCCCAGCAATACATTATACACTGTATGTATAATGTATTGCTGGGATTTGTTGTACTCCTCTATAGCTGGTGATATTCTGCATTGCGCTGTATAGAGGACTACAAGTCCCAGCAATAATACATTATACAGCGCAATGCAGAATACCACCAGCTATAGAGGAGTACAACAAATCCCAGCAATAATACATTATAAAGTGGTACAATGCTAAATACCACCAGCTATAGAGGACTACAAAACCCAGCAATAGTACATTATACAGCGCAATGCAGAATGCCGCCAGCTATTATGTACTATTGCTGGGATTTGTTGTATTCCTCTATAGCTGGCGGTATTCTGCATTGTGCTGTATAATGTGCTTTTGCTGGGTTTTGTAGTCCTCTATAGCCGGTGCCATTCTGCATTCATTGCTGTATAATTTTACACTTTCCATTTCACTATATTGCACACCACACTATCTTTTTTTTTTTTTTTACTTCCACCGCGCCAAGCTTGCTCCTGTGATGGACTACAATCTCAATACAAACTAGTAGTCATCACTGGAGCCATTTTTTTAAATGTATTTTATTGTTTATCCGATTAACCGAACGTAATAATCGGTTTTGAAAATAATCGTTAGCTGCAGCTCTAGTTTTGTTACCGGAACCCACAGACGGTCATATGCGCCTATCAGCCAACAGACGTGATCGTATACTGCAGGGGTAGGCAACTCCGGCCCTCCAGAGGTTGTGGAACTATAAGTCCCATGAAGCATTGCAAGACTGACAGCCACAGGCATGACTCCCATAGGCAATGGCAGGATGGGATTTGTAGTTAAAGCACAGCTTGAGGGCCGGAGTTGCAGATACCAGTAGTCTGCGTTAGTTTGAAGGAGAGATGAGCTCATCACTGCGCTGCTTCTTTTATTTTAAAAAGAAATAAAATCATAAGGTTTGTATTTTGCTCCCAGAGAAGGCAGCCAACCTCACTTACATTGCTACTCTCTCCTCCTAAGGATGCTTCTTCACTGACCCCCGTCCATACTTTGAAAATTATGATTTGTGCATTACACATCGTCACTCCCCCCCCATCCCAAACCAGCTAATTTGGCGCCACACACAAATCCCTTTCACGTTTTCCCGCCACCCGCCCTCCCTGCTGACGTCACTCAGGCGTCACGCCCCTCTTGCCCCTTCGCGGCCATCTTTACTGCGGGCGCCGCTCTCTACACGCTATCCTCGCCCTTTTCTTATTCAAAATACCGTCTTTCAGTTGCAGTACCGCCGCTTACTATTCGCTTTCAAACACGCAGAACGTTTATAACAATTTAACGTCTCTTTGTGGTCTCGTTCCCTTAACCATAATGGCGGATCGAGGTCTCCGGCTCCACCCTGATACGTGCATAGAATCTGACGTCACTGCGCAACGAGCGCGCTTTGGTTTAAAGTACCGATTCTGCTGGAGTCTGGCGGACGGGGAACGGTGCGGAGTGACTGGGGATGGCGATGACGGTACATTCCGGGGAGGAGGCTGCATAGGGGTTAATGACAAAGTAGAGGCTTGGGGGTTGGTAGCTCACTGCCGGGTTGGTGTTTGCTAAGTGCCAGCTGACAGTGTATGAAGGAAGCTTCCTCCCCTTAAAGGGACAGTCCTCTCCTCTGCAGTAGACCCTCGTGTCATTTATAGATCTCTACAGGTGAGTGTGCTTTATGACTACTAACATAAGTTTAAAAGTGTGTTAAGCAGTCGTGTCAGATGGGGGGATGTGGCCCAATGGTGTCACGTGAGGGGGTGTGGCCTGCACTGGGTGACACCAGAATGACTGACAGTCATTTTGGTGTCACCCCCTTTTAAAATTTGGGCACTTGGTCATTTCACGAGGATGGAGGGGGGACCTGGGGGATACCTGATCCTGCTGGGTCAATATCCCCTCCTGTCTCTGCTGGCGTCCGTCACCAAGATGGCCTCTGGCAGTGAAATACATCACTATGCATGCGTGATGATGTCACCCTGTGAAAGTCATAACACATTCGCGATGGGCACACCGGGTGACATCCACCCTGATGCCGCTGCTGGTGTTGAAGTAACCCTGTCACCTCCATAATGTCCATAGAACACAGCAGCCTCCCTTGAAAAAGAACTCAAAGTAGATCTGAAGCCATTTTAGATGATTTAGGATTAAACGCTATGTTTACCTTCCGGGCCAGACTTGGGCATTTTACAGCCCATGGGCCACTTTCGTCCCTTTGGCTATCCCTGTCTGGACAAGGACTGATCGCCGACCCGCGCTTGTTTATGGCCAGGTGACACTGGAGGCGCCGGCATCTAAGGGCAGACCCCCTCCTCCTCAGTCATTGGTTGCTAGGACCGCTGACATCCTAGCAACCAGTGACATTAGGTGTCTACTTCGTCCTCAGTCATTGGTTGCTAGGACCACTGGTATCTAAGCGACCAATGACATTAGGCGTCTTCTTCATCTGCAGTCATCAGCTGTGATGGGGACAAGCAGTGCCGGGGGGCGCTGTGATGGGGACAAGCAGTGCCGGGGGGCGCTGTGATGGGGACAAGCAGTGCCGGGGGGCGCTGTGATGGGGACAAGCAGTGCCGGGGGGCGCTGTGATGGGGACAAGCAGTGTCGGGGGGCGCTGTGATGGGGACAAGCAGTGCCGGGGGGGCGCTGTGACGGGGACAAGCAGTGCATTTTAAAGACATGTCCTGATGCTTCCGCGATGTCCAATGGCTCGTCTGCTGGGTCATGTATATACTGCGTATGCTGCTCTGGATTTGTGGAGTGAGTTTGTAACTCATCTTTGTGTGCCGCAGGTTATTCTGGAGGATCGCTACACAACTGATTGGTCTTAGTTCAGTGCTCCTCGAAGTCCTTCTTCTGCCATCATGGGTATTCAAGGTCTTCTACAGTTCCTCAAAGAGGCATCGGAACCCGTCCATGTGAACCAGTACAAGGGACAGACGGTGGCAGTGGACACCTACTGCTGGCTTCATAAAGGAGCTTTCGCCTGTGCAGAGAAACTGGCGAGAGGGGAACCGACTGAACAGTAAGTTTGTGTCTTGTTAAAGCAGCACTCCGGACAAAAGTGTTTTAACTCTTGTAGTTGGGCTACCCCGGCACTGCAAGGGGTTAAAGTCTTTTATTTTTGGCATTAAAAGTGAACTATGGGGCAAGTGTTTTTCCCCATGGTTCTCTTTAGGGTCACGGGAGGACATAAACTAGCGTCCTCCCGTGACTCAAAGCTCAGTATATAGCGAGCTATTACCCGCGATATACTGTGAGGGCCGGGACGGATCCCGACAATACTGGCAAAATCCACCCAGCTGCGTGAGTGACAGAGCCAGCTGTCAATCTAGAGGCAGAGTCAGATGTGCCCGCCCCCTCCCCTGTCCGTTCCTCCACTCAGCGCTGGAGGATTGGAGAGGGGAATCCCTGTGGGGAGCCGTGACCTACAGTCACCGCTCACTGCAGGGAGACTATCGAGAAGTGAGTGGATTGGCTGCATGTTTCTGCTCACTTCCCGATCGATAGAGCTGACCTGTGACAGCTTCTTTGTCACACGTCGGCTCTAACTATGAAGATGAGCGGAAATCACTCGCCTCATAGTTCTCCTTTTAATCTTCTGCTAGCAAGCAATAGATATGTCCCATGATTAATAAATTAGGAAATACCTAAATACTTAACTGTTCCTGCGCCGCTTGCTCCCGGCTGAAGAACTCCCGGCTCCTGAACGGCTGTGAAGAAGAAGGGCGCATGCGCAGTAAAGGGGAGAAAACAGACACTGAAGCTCAATGGAGGCAGCCGGGAGAGCGCACGTCGGACAGACACCGTGGGACACGAGGAGTCTGCGGTGGATCAGAGACCGGCAGCAGCATTGGAGGGAGTGTCGGAAACAAGTGGAAGGAAGAAGATGATCGCAGCAAGAGGCATCACAGAAGGTAAGTGCTTACAGAAAGTGGGGGTTTACATTAAAGGTCTTTTAAGAACATTTTTGCCCAAAGTTCTGCTTTAAAGCTGAACTCCAGGCAGATATAAAGAGTAACACGTACTCTATAATGGCAACTGTAGCAGCTGCACACACTTGTATTCCCTTTGAGAAGGAGTCCTGTGTAAGCTCTGAGTCTGGACTTTGTGCTTCTACAAGGCGGAGGACTATTCCCCTTTCCTTTCCTCCTTTTTTTCTCCTTTCCTCCTTTTTTTCTACTTTCCTCCTTTTTTTCTCCTTTCCTCCTTTTTTCTCCTTTCCTCCTTTTTTTTTTTTTTTCCGTTCTTGTTTTCCTTTCCCTTCCCTCAATCCCAGGGCTCAGTGTCTGGTCAGCCATTTACTAAGCACTAGTGCTCTCACCTGGGAGGAAAGTGTCTATGTTAGAAAAAGCAAACTTTCATTTGCTTTCCTGTATTAGAGAACTGAGGATTGGAGTTTGCTTGCTGTGGGTTTCATACACTCTCTTACCTTTCCTCGGGGGTTTTCTTTACCCGTGGTGTTCTTCCGATGTTGCTTACAGCCACCAATGTTGCTTTTTGTGTTTTACAGGTATGTGGCCTATTGTATGAAGTTTGTACACATGCTTTTGTCACACGGTGTGAAGCCCATACTGGTGTTTGATGGATGTACGTTACCATCGAAGAAAGATGTAGAAAGAGCGAGACGAGAGTGAGTAGTCCAACGGACCAACACCGTATTCACATTTGTTACTATTGGTTGTAGTATGAAGGGTCATTGCATTTAGTTGTATACAATGTGACTGTTCTATGACGGGGCTTCTAGATCCTGGGTGCATTGTTATACAGCACGTTGCATAGCAGTGTCATTCATTTGCACAGTCTTCTTTTGTGTTCTTTTTGACTAACCCCCAACCTCCTCGCCCGCCCACCTCATCAAATTTAAAACAATAAGGACCTTAGATTCCTGGTCCCAAACCTGCCACCTGGGGCTTTAGCTTTGATAGTCATATTTCATACATCATTTATCCTGCATGTATTGGAATTGCAGGAATATCATTGATTATAGTTTGGTTCGTGTTGGCAATGCAGTAAAAATATTTGTGTGTTTCGCAGGAAGCGGCAGGCAAATTTGCAGAAGGGGAAGCAGCTGCTGAGAGAAGGCAAGCTGTCCGAGGCCAGAGATTGCTTTACACGCTCGGTTAACATTACCTCTGAAATGGCTCATCAAGTCATAAAAGTAAGTCTGCCGAGTTCAAGCTTGAAGATGGGGCATGTGACTCATTTCACCTATCAGAAAAAACAATGTTCCTTTTTATAACCAAAAAAAAAATTTTACTCATAATGCTTACTTTGCCTTACTTTTAATGCAAAACCTAAAGATGTCAAAAATCTTAGAGGAAATCCTGAATTTGATACAGATTGGGGTACTGGTGATAGTTGTAGGTAAAAAGGCTTTTCTTTTTAAAGAATGCACAATTACAATAAAGAAGAAATCCTGGAAGTTTCAAAACTTTCCCTTGCAGGGGTGCTATCCCCGCACTGGAAGGGTTAACTGCTTGTTTTGGTGGGGGTCACCACAACTTGGCAAATGTTACCAAGGGGTCCCGGTCCTAGAAAGGTTGAGAGCCACTGGTCTAGGAGCTAAAATACAGAAGATATATTTACCTGATCCTTGGTGCCATTGAGCTGCTAGACAGGTCCACGCAGCCCCTTCTCTCCTGGGCCCCAGCAATCTAAGGACAGCTGGCATCACGTCTAATTCAGGTCCAGAATAGTTGTGAGAGCACCGGGGGACATTGCACAGCCAGAGTGGAGAGGGAGAGAGATCAGTGCTGACCACTGCAGAACCCGAGGATCAGGTGAGTATACCTGCTTTGCTCCATCATCTAGAGGAAAACAAGCTTTTAACCCTTGCTGTGCGGGGGGTAGCTCTACTGCAAGAGAGATTTTTAAAATGTCCGGAGTTCTTTTTTAATTGTGCATTCTTCTAAAATTATTTCAATGCCTTTTTTATTTACAACTAGCACTAGTATCTGAATCTGTATTGATGTCAGCCTTGGTCATCACTTGTACAGCATCCAGACTGAGGAATGGATTGGTGAGCATTGGGAGCCAATCATTCTCTGACACATGCAGCTGTGACAGGAGGTTAAGCAGCGTGTGTGTTGTCCTATTGATTGTCCAATCCACAAACTGCTGAGCAAGAGACACTACTGTACAGATGTGTCCCCTGCACTCCTTACAGGATTCACAACCTTGGATTAAAGGAGATCTATGAGGTGGTATTAAAGGAGGATTTACACTGATCCTCATAGTTAGAGCCGACCTGTGACAAACAAGCTGTCACAGGTCGGCTCCATAGATCAGGAAGTAAGCAGAAATATGCCACCGATCCGCTCACTTCCTGATCGTCTCCCTGCAGTGAGTGATGAATGTCAGTCTCCGCTCCCCCCCTCTCCGATCCTGTATAGGAAGATGATCACCAGCACTCTGAAGATTTTGTCAAATCCTTGTGTTCAATCATTATGGAGCAGCGTCACATATATCAATATAGTCAATGTTTTGGGGCCACGCAGGGTTCCTTCATCAGTGGCATGGTCACTATGTCGCCCTGATGAAGGGACCCTGCATGGCCCTGAAACGTTGGTTATGTTGATGTATGCAATTAACACAATGATTTGACAAAATTTGAGTGCTGGTGATCATCTTCCTATACATGGCTGTCCTTGTCTGGTAAAGGTTTGTTGCCATAAAGTTGGCTGGACAGACAAATGCTTTTGAAATGTAATTGGCTTTGTTTTGATTGTATCCCATTTTGGCATAGAAAAGTCTTTGCAAAATGGCAACTAGATATGATCTTCCATTGCAATGCTGTTTTTATACATATGTCTGCTCTCTTACAGGCTGCACGCTCTGAAGGTGTTGACTGCATAGTTGCCCCATATGAGGCCGATTCCCAGCTGGCATACTTGAATAAAAATGGTTTTGCCCAGGCAATCATCACAGAGGACTCCGACCTTCTTGCCTTTGGTTGTAAGAAGGTAAGGGGCTATTTTGTTGTTTTTGAGCTCACTATTGAAAAATCTTCTATGCGGTTAAGAATTACTCTTTCCTCCTCCCCAGATGTACATTTACGAGTTTTAGGATCTTAAAAGAGGTTTTCCAGCTAATAGGACTCTGATCTACTGGTTGAGCTTAGGGTGACGGGAGGACGGTAGTCTGTGTCCTCCCGTTACCCTAAGGAGAACTATGGGGAAAAGCCCTGACATCATAGTTCTCCTTTTAAAGTGCATGTTCACCCAAACTTTTTTTTTTTCTTATTTTTGGTTAGCGTGGGGAAAGATAAGAACCCCTGGGGCACTGTTACCTGTCCTGCTGACAAAGTTGCACCACACAGGAAATAAAGGAATCTTTAACTGTTAACACAGACAGAAATGGGATTGTTAATAGAGCACTGCGAACACTCGTCTGTTCCTATGGTGTCACCCTTCTGCATGTAGAAGCAGTAATGTGTCTCCCTATTGCTGCTCACTCACTGATACGGAAGATTTGCAGCCTCTTTGCCAGCTTAAGAGCAAGCAGGTGACTAGTCTCTATAATCACGTTACTGGCAATTTTTCTGCTAGCGACTGGATCACTATCGTGACACGGCCCTTCATCGGACAAAATAGAAAAACATTTATTTTAACCATTCCCAGCTCTAACTAAAGGTGGGGAAAAAATAGTTTTGCACTTGGGTCTCAGGGAACCCTTACACCGTGTGATGTGCGGACACTGCCACGTCACTTCTGTGTGTGTCTGATGCACTCGGACGCACCAGAGGTTCATCATGATCCACTCCAAGGTGTCTCCCCAGACGCGGGCTCCAATGTGGGTGCACCTGAAGTGTGTGATCATCCTCTGCTGCGGCCCTCCCGGGCAGCCAGGACGTGCTGTGCTAGTAGGTCCAGCAGCCCATGCTTTCCCGTTGCTCTTCCTTCTATACCTAGGTGTCACCACTGCACGTGCAATGGGAACAAAAGAACAATGGAAGACAATTCAAAGAAAACCACATCATCCTCCAACCCCTGGGAGTGGTGGGTAGCTGCAAGGGCCCCCTATGGACAACTATATGTAACCAACAATGGCAGGCAGAGCAAAGGGAGAGGGCAGGCAGGCTGAGAACCAGGACCTAAATCGAACCCACTTCGGGGTGAATGGAGAACATGTTGCGGATCATTGTAAGGAAAGGAGTGGTGTAACGTATTGTGACCCAGCGCTAGATACGTTTCCTGTGGACCCCTCCGCCTCCGATCCACTGGTTGGCTCACTTGTCTTTGGCCGGTGGGGACGAATTCCTCTGATGTATGTAGGGTGTTGATGCCCCTTTAAATCCTTTTTTGTTTTTATTATTGAACAAAAAAAACAAGCTTATTGGACTTTTTTTTTCCCTTTCCTAGGTGTTTCTTAAAATGGACCAATATGGGAACGGCTTAGAAATTGATCAGGCTCGGTTTGGAAAGTGCAAACAGCTCGGAGATATATTTACGGAAGAGAAATTCCGGTATATGTGCATCTTGTCCGGATGTGACTATTTGCAGTCTATTCATGGTGTGGGTTTAGTCAAAGCCAGTAAAGTTCTAAAAGTTGCAAATAATCCGGATATTATACAGGTAAATATTGTAAAAAAACAAAAGAACGGAAAAACAGCGCCTTCTCCTTGTGAAATTCTGTTTAATTCGTCAATAAAAAAACCAAAGTAAATATACTCCCAAATATAGTCTGCGTAATGGGCATTCAGAACAACCGTCCAAGCTAACGGACTATGGTCAGCATCCTGTAGAACTGTCAGACATCTAGAATGTGAGCAGAAGCAATCTGTTGTGTCTTGTTGACGCGTTTCCAGGGATGAACCCTCTTCCTCAATACAAATGGCATAATGGAAAGAAAAAACGTTTAAAAGTGTATTTTTAGTTGGTTAAGGCCTCATTCACACGAGAAACGGGCGGCCCGTACAGATCCGTCTGCGTGCACGGCTGTATCAGGCCGCTCCAGGGAAGGACAGGTGCTGCGTGTGATTTGTACACAGCAGCCTGTTCTCTATGAAAGAACGCCGACCTACACGTCCGTGCGGGTGTCTGTACTCGCACGCTGACAGGATGGATCCTGTCTGTTTCCAAACCGGGACACCCTTACAGACGTGCAGGTCGGGTGAGAGTAGAGCAGCGTACGGCCGCGTCCTCCCATAGAGAAGGAAGAGGCTGCTGCGTACAAATCACACGCAGCACCTATCCTTCCCGGTAGCGGCCCAATATGGCCGGCCCATACAGATCCTTGCTGCATGCACGGCCATTTCTTGTGTGAATGAGGCCTAAAGCCCAACGCTGGGAATTTTTTAAATCAAAATGGGCCCCTATACAGATTGAAAAAAGCAGCTCAGTGCACAATAGTTGGGCGATTTTTATCACAGTACTTCTATTCGGCCACAAGATGTCCTCGGTCTCTCCAGGAGTTATACAACCTGCAAACATGGGGCATACTATGAAAGAATGGGCATCATGGACCCGCCTCCTAAGGGACAGCACCATGGCACCCTTCATTCACTGCTGCATTAGCAGAGCACTGACCCGAGCTTGAGAAGAGGCCTAGAGGAAGATGACACCACAGGTCACTTGATGAGAAGACATTTAAAAAAAAAAAAAAAAGAGTATAATAAAGAAAAATCTACTTCTTGGGGGACCTCTAAATGAGTTGGAGAAGGGGCATACCAGTGTCCAGTCTTTAACTCATATGGCTCTATTGATCACCTAGGGTTGGGCCTTCTAAAACCAAGCATTCCCAGCAAAGTGTAATGGAAGCACCCTGTATTAAATGTTTGTAAAATAAAATCTTCATGCCGGCGATAAAAAATGAAATAGACATTTCCTGAACTTGTCCACAGAGACCACTACAATTCCTTAGCTGTTTCCCGGGTATTCTGGGATTTGTAGTTTCTCACCTTAATAACTCCAATACTTTTTCAAATTTCTACATATTTTTTCATCTCTTTCAGGTCATTAAGAAAATGGGACAGTATTTGAAATCCAATATTACTGTTCCCGATGGATACATAGATGGATTTATCCGTGCTAATAATACCTTTCTGTACCAGCTGGTCTTTGACCCACTGAAAAGAAAACTGGTTCCTCTTAACCCTTATGAAGATGGCATTGACCCTAAAGAATTGAGCTATGCTGGGCCGTATCCTTTTGCGTTTATTGTTTTTAAAGTGCGTCTACACTCCGATTACCACGGCTAAAGGGACCTGGCACGAGGGTAACAAAGTGGTTATTGTTACTTTTTAGGGATGCACCGATACTAGTATCGGTGCCAATACCGAGTATTTGGGCGAGTACTCGTACTCACCCAAATGCTCTCGATGTTTATCCCGATACTTGAACTTCCGGTTTCAGGAAGCCAGACGGTGAGTCATTACACGCGGCTCGGCTTCCTGATTGGCTGGGAAGCTGGCTCCATGCCTCATCACCAGGGAGCATGTAGCTGGCTTCACGGCCAATCAGGGAGGCGGGTAAAGACTTGCCCCCCTCGGCTTCCTGATTGGCTACTTACCTTATTTATTGCCTCTTGACCCTATCATCTTCTGGTTTCCGACAGTCCCTCCGGTGCTGGTGCCGATCTCTGATCCACCGCAGAGTCCTTGGGTCCCACAGTGTCTTTCCGACGTGTGCGTGCCAGGCTTCGTCCATTCACTTCTGTTCTCTCCCCTCCGTTCTACTGCGCATGCGCCCGCACACTTCCACCTTCACAGCCGTTCCTGAGCCAGGAGTTCCTTGTGAATGTGTAATTGTCAGCTAGACACAGATTTTTGAAATTGCAATGCTCATTAAAAAAACACAAAAGTAATCGGATTGTTACTGGCGACACGAATGCAGGTTGTGTATAAAATGTAAGAAGACTGATATGGGCAACTGAGACACTTTTTTTTTTTCTTGTAGCACATGTCTGCAGACTGCACAGTGCACACCATTGTTCTGCAGCATACAACTTGTCTCTTCACTTCATTTTCCTTAACGATCTAAACAGAAACGTGGGAGACTCGATGGCTTATCAAATCTCACTGGGTAATGTGGACGTCAACACCATGAAAAAAATAGATGACTACAATCCTGATGTTCCTCAGGTGAGTTCATGTCGTGGAGTCTTTGCGGTTATTTATTTCTCTAAAGTGAAAGTGACACTAAACTGAGGAGTTAAATCTTAAAAATACATCCAAGTATCATAACTATTAACAACAATGTATTCCTATTTGTGTATCGGCTGTAGATCCTCCAATCATCTCTGAATTGGTGCTGACACTGTCCTTCCTTCATACAAATGACTAAACGTGAGATTGTAGTCCATCCCGGGAGCGGTGACTACTTTACAACACACACAGGGACCATGGGGAACAAAAGTAGTCACCCTCCAGAAGGAAGGACAGTGTCAGCACCAATTCAGAGATGATTTGAGGATCTACAGCCGAGTGATACACAAATTAGATACTTTGTTGTACATCGTTAAGGGACTTGAATGCATTTTTAAAATTTAACTCCGGGAGTTTAGTGTCACTTTTTAAAGGAGAACTTTGAGGTGAGTGATTTTCACTCAAGCTCATAGTTCGAGCTGACGTGTGACAGTAAAACTGTCGCACGTCATCTCAATAGATCGGGAAATGAGCGAACACATACCGTCGCTCGCCCGCTTCTCAATCGTCTCCCTGCAGGGATTCTCCTCCAGCGCTGAGTGGAGGAATGGGGGAGGGTGCGGGTACAGCTGGCTCTGCCTCTAGATAGGCAGAGCCAGCAGTCACTCACGCAGCTGGGTGGATCTCGACAGTAAGGTCGGGATCCGTCCGGCTGCGGCGGTCTCAGTATACCGCGAGCTGTAGCTCGTGATATACTGAGCTTTGGATCAAGGGAGGACGCTAGTATATGTCCTCCCGTGACCCTTAAGAGAACTATGGGGAAAAACACTTCTCATGGTTCTCTTTTAATAAAAACATAAGATTCCACTCTGCTGGAACAGCTGCAGCCTTTATAAAGGATGGTGTTGCTCTCTTGAGTGAATTTTAATAATGTACTGTATGTAGAGCTTGAAAAAAAGAACAGTTCACTAAAAAAACAAGCACTGTGATGTGTTGTAACAATGCATCACGGCATGCATGCACAATACACACCATCGTGCATATGTTACGAGCACTATAACATGCGCCCGTTGGTGTGTATGCACCCTTAGTGGGTTGTCTTTGCGTTTTTTTTGTGGCTTTGTTCATGGGTGTTCTGTCTATTTCTCTCATGTGTAGGTGACAAAAAAGAAGAGCCACAGCTGGAACAAGAAGGTCTCAGTTTCTGGAAGCATCTGGCAGGAAAACTTCAGTCCCTGCACAAATATAAAATTAGAAGAGAAGCCAAAAGTGGAAGAAAAGGCGAGTCGGCGAGGGTTAATAATCCCAAGTAATAAGAACCCCATGAAAAGGTCTCTTGAAGGTGCGTGAGAATGTTTTAAAAAAAACCCGTAACTTGTTACTTTTATTTTTGTTTTTTTTCTGCTCGAGCAGCCAGTTAATGCCCAAAAATAAAGTTTGACAAGACATTTTAATGATGGTTATGTGCCCGGATGATACCTAAGCCTGACACATGCGCATTATGATTCTGCATGATTGGCAATAAAAGTATGTGGACACCCGCCCAATGATCGAGTTCTGCTAATTCTACAGTATACGAGTTTTAGACAATAATGCTCCTCCCACCTTATGGTAACAGTTTGGTTGATGGTTTTGTTCTGTTCCAGCATGACAGTGTTCCTGTGCAAAAGCCAGCTCCATAAAGTATAGATGAATCGATACCGTATTTTTCGGTATCGAGTACTGATATTTTTTTTATCGGTACTCGCCGATACCGTGAGTCCCATTAAGGAAGCTGGGTGGCATTTAATGACTTGCTGCCTGGCTTCCTGATTAGCCGGGAAGCCATCTCCATGCTCCCTCTGCACCAGGTGACGAGGAAGCATGGAGCCGGCTTTCTGGCCAATCGGGAAACTGGGGGGCGGGTAATGACTCGCCGCCTGGCTTCCTTATTGGCCAGCTTCTCGACCAATTAGAAAACTGGGCGGCCAGTCATTACATGTTGCCTGGCTTCCTGATTTGGCCGGGAAGCCGCTCCATGCTACCTCGTCACCACATGACAAGGAAGCATGGAGTTGGCTTTCTGGCCAATCAGGAAGCCCGGGGGGCTGGTAATGACTTGCTGTCCGGCTTCCTGATTGGGCAGCTTCCCCACCAATTAGAAAACTGGGCGGCCAGTCATTGCATGCTCTTTTGAGCATGGAGCTGGCTTCCTGGCCAATCAGGAAGCCAGGCAGTGTGTAATGACTTGCCGCCCGGCTTCCTGATACCGCAATTTCCAGGATTGGGCTGGGCATTGGTAGCATTTGGGCGAGTACGAGTACTCACCCAAATACTAGTATCGGTGCATCCCTACCAGAAAAGACATGGTTTGGTGTGGAGCAACTTGAGTGGCCTCTACGGAGCCCTTACCTCAACACCTTTGGAATGAATTGCAACGCCAACTGTTTTTCTCATCCTACATCATTGCCTGACCTCACACATGTTCTTTTGGCTGAATGGGAACATATTTCTAGATAAACTCCAAAATCTTATGGAAAGCCTTTCCAGAAGAGGAGAGTCTGTTAAAGCTGCAAAGGAAGCCCAACTCCCTATTAACGTCCATGGTTTGGGAGTGGAATGTCCAAAAGGCTCATATAGGTGTGGTTGCCAAGTGTCTATAAACATTTGGCCATATATAGTGTATTTAGGAACCTAATACGAGTATTCCTTGGTTCTAAGTGGGCCTGTATAGCGTAAACCTAGCCTTGGTGAGAACATATCATGTACATCCCAAGTGAAGCGGTGAACCCTTCAGTGTCCACAGCTAAAGTCCTTATTTATTTATTTTCCAGGTGGGGTTTCGGAATCAGACCTCCTCAGTCAATATTATTTTTCTCAGAATAAGAAACCCAAAAAAGAGAGTGAAGACCATTTAACAGAACTCCAGGCTTCTCCCCCATCAAATGTCCTACAACCACTAGACGACCGGGCCAATACGAAAGCCTTCCAGCCCAAAGCAAGGAATACTTTTGCCACCTTGCTGCAAAGAAGGAACGAACAAAGCGGTTCAGCCTCTGTTACTGGAACCCGCAGTAGGTGCGTCACTTCTGCAGGTGTTGCGGCACCACTTAATTCATTGTTGTCGACTTCAAATCTAATTGCAGTTGCTTTGTGTGAAAAGCTGCATTAGTTTTCTTTTTCCTGGTGATTCTGCACACTTCTTGTCTTAGGGTGACAATGCTCACTTACTGCACTGATTTGTACTATAGAAACCTCCCTCTTTAGTATACAAAAGAAGTCTGGGTATGTGGAAGTATTCTGAGCAAGGTTGATAAGACTTGGATTTGGAGCTGTTGCCAGCTCAAACCCAGAATTTACAAGCTGATTGGATTTCTGGCAGTTTAACAATTATAACTAGGGATGCACCGATACTAGTATCCGTGCCGATACCGAGCATTTGGGCAAGTACTCCCCCAAATGCTCCAAAGCTTACCCCCGATACCGGAAGTTCTGGTATCGGGAAGCCGGGCAGCGAGTCGTTACACGCCGTACGGCTTCCTTATTGGCTGGGAAGCTGTCTCCATGCTCCATCGTCACTTGGTGATGAGAGAGCTTGGAGTCGGCCTCCTGGCCAATCGGGAAATGGATGGCGTGTAATGACAGGAAGTCGGGTGGCAAGTCCTTACCCGCCTCCCGGCTTCCTGATCCGGCTTCAAGCTTCCTCGTCACCTGGTAATGAGAGCGCATGGAATCGGCTTCCCAGCCAATCGGGAAGCCCAGTGGCGTGTAATGACTTGCCGCCTGGCTTCCTGATTGGCCAGAAAGCCGGCTCCATGCTTCCTCGTCACCTGGTAATGAGAGCGCATGGAATCGGCTTCCCAGCCAATCGGGAAGCCCAGTGGCGTGTAATGACTTGCCGCCTGGCTTCCTGATTGGCCAGAAAGCCGGCTCCATGCTTCCTCGTCACCTGGTGATGAGGGAGCATGGAGCCGGCTAATCGGGAAGCTGGGTGGCGAGTCATTAATGGGACTTCCGGTATCCGTGAGTACCCAAAAAAAATAAATATTGGTACTCGCACTTGATAACGAAAAAACGGTATCGGTGCATCCCTAATTATAAGAAAACACTTTCTTTGGTATTTTTAAGACCAAATTGGAGCAAATAAAATGATTTTATTTTCTGTTTATTCACATTACATTGTGAGCGTGCCATTCATTGTATGTGAACTATTATATGTTTCCAGGTTTTTTTGCAGTGAATCTGAGCTGGTGACCTCCTCCCCTATAGACCATATTAAGCCAACAGACTACACGGCAAACTCTTCAGGGACTCCTTGTGAGGTCATCCAGGAAATGGAAATACCTGAGGAACGCAACGAGCCGTGTAAAGAAGAGCTGACTCCATCTCCAGTCTCTGATCATTGTGACGTGAAATCTAACGCGGATTCTCCACTTCGTAACGCAAGAAATTGTTTTAGCTGGTCAGGAAGCTTGGCCAAAAGAATCCCAACGTCCGAGAGCCCCCGTCCCTCCATCCTGTCTCTTAGGAGGTTTCAGAGGACTAAAAGCAGTATAGTGCCAGGCACAGATCACCTTGACATGGACCAGACCCCTAACTCCAATGGGGACCAAACCAACGGTGTCATCATTCAGAAGAGTACAATGTCTGTTCTGGAGATTGATGACTCCAGCTCAGAAGTAAGTAATATCTTATTATTCGGTATTATCCTTCTATTTTATTTAGAATTTATATTGTGCCAACAGTTCGCGCAGAACATAAATATGATGATGGTGTGGTTGGCATTTTATACTTTTGATGAATATTAACGTAGTATTAGGGTCTGGGCGTTTTTTACCTTATCCCCCCCCACACACACACACACACACACACACACACACACTTACCTGTCAGCTACGCTCGTCCCTGCCGCCGGTCCCGAAGCGATCCTCAGTTCCCCGATCTTCCTGTTTGCAGGGGGGGAGGATACTGATGGCAAAGGAGCCATAGGCTCCTTCTGCCATCAATCAAACTGTTGGGCGGAGAGGAGGGGCGTGGCCTGCCACAGGGCTGTGTGTGTCTATGGAGGCACACAGCCACTGCGGGCACGAGCGCGCACACACAGGTGCCTCCATTAGCCGATGGGGGGGGCGGGGGAGTGCTGCGTGGACCCACTTGAAAAACGAGGAATTAAAAAGAGAAAGAAAAACAGCAACAGCCTCAGAGGTGGGTCTCCTTGAAGGAAATATTTTTTAAAAAGGGTTTATTATCACTTTTAAATGAAGTCTGCAAGTCGGAGCCACATGTAGCTTAGGTTTATTGTTGTGGGTGGAGTTTAGGGGCCCATTGACGCTGTGGCATTTTTGTGATATGCTTCGGTGCTATTAATTTTGAGTGGCACCTTAACACACTTCCACAGTTCCCCCAAAAAATGCAGCTTGCAATAATTATCTGCTGCATGTTGGGCGGTGCAGCTTATCAGAATAGTGTTTTTTTTTTCCTGCATTGCATTGTGAACACGCAAAACAAAAAGCCTATAAAGTTTAACTATTAACCGCTGTGTATGAGCCTGTGTGTGAGTTAGTGTCCTGTAACTCCCAGCACTGATCCGAGGGATGCAAACTGACCGCGCCGGCAGGGGTCTGCTTCCCTGCTTGGCATTGAACTGGCAAGATCACCGAGTATTTACCAGCAAAAAATAAATAGTTAAAGGTCACATATTTTTTAGGACCTTTTGTGAGTAGCCCAACATTCAGAATTTTGATTTTTAGGGTAAGAAACACTTTCATTATACAGTGCCGAATTTTTAGGGAAATCGGTACAATTTTACAGGGTTATTTAAAGGGGGGGGATTTAAAATGTAACCACTCCTTTTCCAAATGGATACTTAAGATGCCCATGTTAAATATTGCGTGCATCTGTGAAACAACGGCAAAATATGGCACCCCAAATTTTCCATAGGCAACGCTTTAAAAGCCCATACAGCTTATAATTTTAGAGATATGGCAGTGAATATTCACCCTAGAATTATTGCTCTCACTCTGGCACATGCGGCGATACCCTACATCTGTAGCATGATCGTTGTTTTCCTTTGTGGGCGCACCCGACGCGTGTTTACGAAAATGTTTTAACTTTTTTTTTTTCTTAAGAGAACTATGGGGTAAGTATTTTTCCCCATAGTTCTCTTAAGGGTCACGGGAGGACATGTACTAACCTCTTCCCGTGACCCAAAGCTCAGTATATTGCGAGCTACAGCTCGCGGTGTACTGAGACCGCCGTAACTTTGGACAGATCCCGACATCGCTGTTGAGATCCACCCAGCTGCGTGAGTGACAGCTGGCTCTGCCTATCTAGAGGCAGAGCCAGCTGTGCCCGCCCCCTCCCCGTCCGTTTTTCCAGTCAGCGCTGGAGGATCGGAGGGGGGGGAATCGCCAGGGGGACCGTTGATTGACAGTCACGGCTCTCTGCAGGGAGATGATCGAGAAGTGAGCGAGCGACGGTATGTGTTCGCTCACTTGCCAATCTATTGAGCCGCCGTCTGACAGTTCCATTGTCTCAGGTCGGCTCGAACTATGAAGATGAGTGATTTGCACTCGCCTCATAGTTCTCCTTTTTAATTGGTATCACGTAAGGGGCTTACATGCCCCCTATGTGATCGCATACTAATGGTGACAGGTTCCCTTTTAAGGTGATAGTGGTCTTTTAGACCCCTAATGTCACGTTTTCACTCCAAATAGGCTATTGAGGCACCGATTGCACTCCTGTAGCTTATTCCTGGCTTCTGCAGCCGAGCAATGATAGCTGAGGGACTGGAAGTGATGTAATCAGCGTCGCTTCCAGTCCCATAGATCGGGGAGGAGATTGGTGAATGGATGTCTGGGAGACTGTGTTAAAGGGGCCCACTGCCAGCGACGCATGAGATACATCTGTGGCAGTGAAAGGGTTATTGGCTTTAACTGTTTTTCACCTCCAAAATGTCATATTTTTTAAAGTGACATTAAACCCTCAGATTTTTTTAACATAAAACAATACTGTAATGTGCGCCTTACTGTAATCCATGGTTGTTTCCCTTCTCTTTGCTGCTCTTCCTTTTTAAATCCTCATGTCTTCTCATGCTGGGGGAGAACTTCTGTTTTGCAGCAGACTGCCTTGTCTCTGAAATGGATATATTTGGTGTCTGTGTGTAGGTTTGCAATCTGAGGCAGCACTACAGGAAGAGGCACTCAGCTGCAAAGGGAAGTTCTCCCCCAGCATGAGAAGACATGAGGATTTAAAAGGAAGAGCAGCAAAGAGAAGGGAAACTACCATGGATTACAGTAAGGCGCACATTACAGTATTGTTTTATGTTAAAAAAATCTGAGGGTTTAATGTCACTTTAAATTTAATGTGGAAAGTAGATTGAGAAGAATCTTGCATCACAAAACTGATGAGTTCTGGTACATATTTCTCTGAGTTTCATAACAAATTTACTTTTGTCAGGACATGGACAAGAGTCTGGCGTCTTCTCCTGAGTTCAGCATGAAAGACTCTCCTACACACCAGACGGCGTATCCAGAGAGGAAGTCTATTCCAAAAATGAAGGTAAAGATAAGTCATTGCCTGTGGGTCTAGTGTTGCTCTGATTGGTTGGCCTGGGACGAATGAAGTTCTGGATAATGCACATTTTTGGTTTAGCTTGGCAAATGAAGAGATTCTGGGTTGGGTTTCTAGGCCTGTGTAGGGCCTAGAATGTAGGGCCAAATGGGTCCTACATTCTCCCATAGTTTTCTATAGTGCGGTATATCCGAGCCGTTAGAAGTTCCATGAGTTCGATCTCTTGGATGTGAGCGTATAGGTCAAATTTGGCTGGTCAAAGGGTTCATTTGCACTGGAATGATGTTGGGTATCTTGCTGCAGTCAGTATATGTAAGGGGGCTCCCCTCTTAGAGGTGGATGATTGCTCTACATTCCATGTTATAAAGTCCAACATGTTCTAATTAGGGATACACCAAAATTTCGACCGCCGAAACATATAGGCCGATAATGGCACATTTGGCAAAATTCTCAGCTCCCCCCCCCCCCCCCCTTCCTGATCTACTAGCATCAGCTCTGAGAGCTACTGCTAGATCATGATCTACCTAATGGGCACCCCTGGTGTATACTATGCTCTCTATTAGCGGTAGAATTGTGAATGTTTGAGAAATGTAAATTGGATGTTTTTGATAAATGGAAAATGTTACACGTCGGGTGTTCTCTGAGTCTAGCATTTGTGATGGAAATATTTGCTGCACAGTGTCTCTGGCATCGGGTCTTTCCACCACAATACTTAGAGAGAGACTGTCTTAAATGCTCCTCGGATGGAACGTGCTCGTCTCAGATCTTTGCTTTCTGTTCTCTTCATACTGGACCTCAGGTGCCCGGACTTCTTCGATCAAAGAGCTTCGATTCGCGCTCTGGGACAAAATTAAAACCAATGGCACCGGCAAAAGCTAGCGGGCTGAGCAGCCGGATGCCTGCAAGAGCAGCTCAGAACAATGAGAACAAGCCAGGCGTGCAAGCCACCATCAGCGACCTGTGGAAGAACTTCAGTTTTAAAAAGTAAGTGTTCATGTTGTCTCCATGCTTCCCTTTCCTGTTTGAGCCAACTTCCTTTTATTCTCTTTTTGTTTAATATATTTTTATTATTGTTTCACATTAAATACATTGACACATTTCGAAAATATAAACAGAAATATAAAATTTCCCCTTTTTTGTATAAATATCAACGATAACATGTATTTGTTAATTCCTTTTATTCTCTGAACCTCTCACCTTCTATTTCACTGACTCATATTTTTTTTTTTTTTTCTGTGTTCCTTTTGGTATCTCTCACACTTTCTTTTTTCCATTTCATTTGTTGACAGAAACTCATCCTTTCTTAAATCTTTTTGCAGGCATTGATAGGTCTTCCCAGACTCTTCCTCACATGAAATGCTGCATCCTCCAACTTTCATCCGACTTCCTCATTTAACACCGTGAAAGATTTTCATTGTTACTGTTTACAAATTTTAGGTTATTGGTCTGTTAGATCAGAATCTAGGATTTGTTTTTACTTGGTTACTGTTACCGTGTCATTACGCACTCTGTAGCTGAATATTTGCACATTTGGAATGAATGTAGTGAAGCAATGAAACTGACATTTTATGGGAGATGTGATAACCTTGAAGAAATGTATCGGGCCTTTAGTAGGCTGAATTTCTTCTTTTTTTATTATTATTTAAAGAACAGGATGATCTCATATCAAATCATTTATTGTGTAACAATGAATTTCATTCCTAAGGTTAAAGGAGAACTATGGGGTTAAGGCTTTTCCCCATAGTTCTCCTTAGGGTAACGGGAGGACACAAACTAGCGTCCTCCCGTTACCCTAGGCTCAGTATACCGCGACCTACAGCTCCCTATATACTGAGACGCCGCAGCCGGAGCGGATCCCGACAATTGTCTGGATCCGCCCAGCTGCGTGACTGACAGCTGGCTCTGCCTATCTAGAGGCAGAGCCATTGTACCCGCCCCCTCCTCCGTCCGTTCCGCCAGTCAGCGCTGGCGGATCGGAGGGGGAAATCCAGCCCCTCCCCTGTCACGGCAGAGAGCCGTGACAGGATCGAGAGGTGAGCGAACGCCGGTATGTGTTCGCTCACCTCCCGATCTACTGAGCCGACCTGTGAGTCTCAGTCACAGGTCGGCTAGAACTATGAGGTGAGTGAAAAGCACTCATCTCATAGTTCTCCTTTAAGTTACACATGAAATATGTAATCCTTAAGGTGCCCATACACTGGCGAATTTTGGCCGGTTGATAATGTACCGGCCGAAATTCGCACAGTGTGTGCGGCTGTCGGCTCCCTTTCAGCCGGCATTCCTCGATCAGCTGATCGAAGGAGCCGGCTGGAAAATCCCTGTGCGATCAGAGGCGGCAGCCAATGAGCTCTGAGCTGGTATTCTGCAATGACACGCCATTTGTGTTGATAGAGGAATCGTGTCAATTTGTTTAGTTCAGCCCGTGGGTTGAATGAAAAAACTTGACAGGTGTATGGCCAGCTTTAGAAGATGCAAGACCTTCTTTTTAGGGACGCACCGATACCGTTTTTTCGGTATCGAGTACCGATATTTATATTTCAGTACTCGCCGAGTACCGATACCGGTACTTCCGGTAGCATAGAGCTGGCTTCCCGGGCAATCAGGAAGCCAGGTGGCGTGTCATTACCCACCGCCCGGCTTCTTGATTGCCCGTGAAGCCAACTCCATTCTGTTTGGCCGTGATCGGCCCTCAGCCTGCGACTGCGCATGCGCAGACTGCCCAGCGCTCTCATTCAGAAATCCTGTGCATGCGCAGTAGCAGGCTGAGGGCCGATCACGTGGGTGCTGTGCAGACAGGAGAGGGACTGGTACGGTAACGAATGCTGGTAAGGATCTATGTGAGGGGAATGAGGTGTCTGCGGGGTGGAGGTCATGTCGCCATATTATCAGATTTGTTTGCCCGGCTCGACACTGACTGATTGGCTGGGAAGCCGGCTTCCCGGCCAATTAGCATGGAGCCGGCCAAACAGCATGGAGCCAGCTTCCCGACTCCATGTTTCCTCGCGGCACTGCCGGTCAGAGGAAATCTCCATCTGACCGGAAGTTCCAGTATCGGGAAAGGTATCGGAGCATTTGGGCGAGTACAAGTACTCGCCCAATTACTCGTTATCGGCACCGATACTAGTATCGGTGCATCCCTACTTTCCACTGGAAAAATACACCGGAATCAACCTTTGTGTAGAACTCAATAAGTGAAGATTTTCCGTGTTCTCGGGAATATTGTAGAAGTGTTAATTGTGCCCAAGCACTACCCTGAAAAATGTACTTTTTTTGTTAGGAAAAATAGCAGTGCACTTTGCACGAACTACAAATCCCATGATGCATATCTCTCCGGGAGTCGTGGCTGTGAGAAACTTGCAAAGCCTCATGGGATCCGTAGTTCCACCACAGCTGGAGGGCCGCAGTTTGACCATCCCCGGTGTAAGCACCCCTGTACCTTTTTTAGCCTTCTAGCTGAACACCTGTAGTGTGAGATTATCTAAGGCACTGCTGCCTTTTGGCTGCTAGTTTTAGGAGATTTGGTGATTGTTTTTAATGGCTTTGCTCACTTATTCTCTTGCTGGAGGCTCTGGCATGGAAAAGCAAGGCCTAGCTGCTACCAACATGGCCATCATCTCCATACAGAGAAAAAGTATAAATAGTAAGTATGTGGGAAGGTCAAGGTGACCACAGGTAATGTTAGTAACTTGTCCTTTTGCCCTCTGCCTTTTTTTTGCTTCCAGAGTTCCATTACTGCTTACCTCACGGTTGGCTAGTTGTCACTTGTATAGAGTGTTTACCTTTTTCATGTCATTTGTATGGACTGGGGGGAATTTAACAAAACTGGAGCAGACAGAATGTAGAGCAGTTGCCCGTGGCAACCAATCAGCATCTCCCTTCAATTTGCTCAGGCAAGATTTGAAAATGAGACAGAGAAGCTGACTGGTTGCAGTGCAAATCTGCTCCAGAATTTGTCTGCTACAGTTTTGATCAATTCCCCCCAATGTGTTTTTGCATCAAATGGGCTTTTTGAATTTGTATATATTTGTATGTGCTTTGTAGAAAATATGCATCAATTTTGTACATTACTAGGTTACGGGTAACAAATAAATTTTTATACGGTCTATTCCGTGCGGAGCGTCTCATGCATTTTCTGCATATTTGTTCATTCATTTATATTAGTGGGCAGCAAATGTTTTATTTCTTTTGTGAAGAAGGTAGCAGGGGAATGGAATACATCAGCGTACAAGGTAAGCCAGTGTCTCATAAAATTTAAAATGTATTGCTATTGATCGGGGCAGGCATGTATGTGAGGCCTAAATGGGGCTAAAAAAAAACATCTACCCTGTTTCCCCGAAAATAAGACCTAGCACTATTTTTTTTTCTAGATTCCTGTAATATAAGACCTGCCCCGAAAATAAGACCTAGTTTGGTGGCAGCAGGAGAGATGGTATCAGCCTGCAGGGACATACTGTATCAGGCCCCATTCACACTGAGCGATTTACCGCGCGATATCGCTCTCCAATGCATCTCAATGGGGCTCTGTCCGTCGTGCGTCGCTACAGCAGGACCCTTTTGGAGCGGATTTTGCCGCGATTCTAGGTTGCTCAATGCAACCATTTGCGCGATATCGCGCGGCAATATCGCGCAAAATGCAAATCGCGCGATTTGCGAATCGCTCAGTGTGAATGGGGCCTTAAGGGGATGACAGGGGACTCCCTCCGGCCAGCGCAGTGACAGGGAGCTCTCCAGTACCATACTTCACCAACTGCTGTCCCACTGAAGGCACTGCTTAATGTAATGGTACTGTACTGTAATGTGTACCGGTAAATGGTACCGTATTTTACCGTGTTGTCCACTGTCTGATGTCCCCACTGCTGTACCGCTGTCCCTGATGGCAAAGGAGTCCGGTGCTGTAGAAAGCAAGGCTGCGGTGGCGGCGGAGGTAGCAGAGTCGCATTAGCCGATACTTCCTCTATAGCGCCGGTTACTAACTTTGGATTGTTGTACATTTTGTTGCACATTAAAAAAAAAAAAAAAAAGACATCCCCTGAAAATAAGACCTAGTGTGTTTTTTTTGGGGGGGCAAAGAAAATATAAGACGGTGTCCTATTTTCAGGGAAACACGGTAGTTGGGGTTGAAATGTGTAGGCGTTGCTCTCTTTGGGTCCAGCAGTTGCTAGCAGCAGCGCCTGCCTTGTACCAGCAGGAGAAAGGTTTTACTTCTGGCAAGGATATCCTCCATATAAATGCCGTACATAATGAACTTCCCACCAATGCCTGCAGTGACACTAATCACCATGCTGGTTACTAGTGAAATGACCCCCATGTTCGTCATTTAAGCACTTTCCAGGTCCAGAGCAGTTGGCGTTGCCTCAATACTTGCCCTTTTCTCTGGTCACACGATATCTGTACCAAAAAAAAAATAGTTTGAGCTAAGGATTCACCGATACCAATATGTGTGCCCATTACTCATACTCCGATACTTACCCCCAATACCAGAACTTCTCCCTCTGACCAGCTGTGCCGCAAACAAACATGGAGCCGGCTTCCCAGCCAATCGGGAACCTGGGCCCCGGGTAACGACTAGCGCCCCGGCTCCCTAATTGGCCGGGAAGCCGACTCCATGCTGTTCGACTGGCTCGATGCTGATTTTGGCCTGGGAAGCCAGCTTCCTGGCCAAACTGCACGGACCCGGTTTCCCAGGCAATCGAGAAGCCGGGCTGTGGGTAATGACACACTGCCCGGCCTCCTGATTAGCCAGGTTAATGGTAGCGGAAGTATCGGAGAGTACCGAAATATAGATATCGGTACTCATACTTGATACCGAAAAACCTGTATTGGCGCAGCCCTAGTTTTAGCGATGGTGTCATCCCGTGGGTGGAGTGTAATGCACGCTCTCTGTTCTTTCCATCGTTCAGCGTTGAGGAATTCTGTCCCCCACTGCTGCACCTACTTTGCAAAAAACCTATGTGCGACTCTGATCTTTAACCCCTTCGTGACTGACGACGCACAGTGTACGTCGCCAGCATCGGGGCTGTTTAAACAGACTCCCGGCGACTTTTGCCGCCGGGAGTCTGTTTAAACTTGTAGAGCCGACTGTCGGCTTTACAACAGAAGCGATC